TTACCCCTTGACTAAGGATATTTAAACATATTCAATAATGTTAAGACGAAAACAACACCAGAAATATATGGAGATTGCCTAAACTGGGGGTACCTTCAAATCTTCCATTTTCAGATGTTCCAATAAACATCAACTATCCATCCCATCCAGCTTTCCAACTGTCGCTGAGGCGAAGTTTCCGCGTGGTGCTTTCTCGGCCCTACGTCCAAGTGCCCTGGGGCTACGAGTGGAACGACGAGTCGGGGGGCCCCGGATGGGCCGAGTGGATGGCCCCGGATGGCCTCGGACCGGCCCCGGACCCCGAAAAAACGACCCGCAGCGAGCGAGCTATAAAGCGTTCCAGTTGAGATAGCGGCTGAATTCTATGGTTTATGGTAGATATATGGGGAATAATGGTGATTAATCATGTGATTAATGGTGATTTATGGTTATTCTATGGTTTATGGATGATATCTGGGACAATTATAACGACCTCACTGCGACCTCACTGGGAATGATGTTTAGTAAGGGAAATCATCCCCAAATGGCCTTAATTCAGGTTAGTGAAATATCATAATTTACCCAGATGTATGGGGTTTAATAATATGATTAATGGTGATTAATAGGATGAGATATAACGAACTAGTTAATGGGATAACTATAATTAATGGGCTTTATATAATGTGATTCATGGTGATTATGGAGGGATATTGATCAATCATTAATGGGATGAGTATCTAACAACAATAACATGATATAACAAAGTCGTATTCATGGGGTGAAACTAAACCAACATTCACATCACAATGGGCACCATAAAAAAAGGTGACTTTTGCCATAGCGAAGTCATGGCCCGTTGATGATTAGATAATTTATAATGATTTACCTCGTAAGAATGCGGGTTTTCCATAGCTATATGTTGAATATATGGTTAACCATTCATGAACAAAACATGTACATAATGCCTCAAGTTTTAAGATATGTCAAAATATGTGGTTACTAATAATAAATTAATGAAATATAACTTTGGGGGTGTACGATGCCAACGGTTTGCAATTGAGAGTATGACCAATGAATGGTTAATTGCGGGTAATGATGGTTAGGTATAAGAAAATCTATAACTAGTTGGTGGTGTGATGTTTTTTTATGTTCAATCCTGCTTGTGATGATGATGCCAGCTGACTTTCACTAACTTTGTTATCGGGTGGTTGAAAGTACCAACCAGCCAATGGTGAAAGGAGAAAAGCTGGTGGTTAGTATGGGAGACAATGGAATACGCAACTCTTTTTTTGCCGATTTGGGGCATAAACCATGTAGAATCATCCGGAACTCCATTTTGTACTGACCCTGTGTCCCCCAAAATTGTACAAACTCCCTGCACAATCTCCCCAAATGTCAATCCGGATCAAACACTGGGAATCTGCGGAGCGACGAAGTGAGTTTCCCAAGCACATGATAGGTTATGCCCTCTGGTTATTCAACATAGCCATGGAAAACGGCCATTTATAGTGGATTTACCCATTGAACATGGTGATTTTCCATAGTTATGTTAGTTTACCAGAGGTTATAAGTTGGTTTCAAACTTTCACAGCCCAGTAACTTTTGATAAACCACTGATAATTCATGACAAATAATGTCAACCCCGGATTAATCAACCATGGTTTATTAACTAGGGGGGTACTCCCCAAATAGTCATAATCTGATACTTAAATGATATCCTCCCAATTAAACAACCGTTTGGGGTTTATTAATCCAGGGTTGACATTATAACATAGTTATAAGTACCATAAACCATAGTTATTGGAGTTATAAACCAACTTAGCTATCTTGGGGGCCTCACATTGTAAAAATCCATAAAGCCATGGGGTAACGAAACATTTCGTTGGACCTCAATGAGGTTCTTTGCGGACACCGGCGCGCGGGTCGTGCGACAGATCCAGCCCCTGTCGCCGTTGGACAGATGGAACGCCCGGCCCGCTCGGCGGGAGAATAAGCAGGAAACCTCGGTAGTAATATGGGATGTAGCCATAATATATAATAGTAATCCATATGTGTCCAATAGTACTGTAAGAATATCCAATAGTAATATATAATAGTACTGTAATAGTAATTTTTTCTGTTATGTTTTTTTCTTTTCATGGATAGTTGCCCATATAATATTGTTATGGGAATATTATGGATATTTACCCATATAATATTGTTCTGGGAATAGTGTTATGGATATTTAGCCAGATAATATTGTTATGGGAATATTGTTAAGGATATTTACCCATATAATATTGTTATGGGAATACTGTTTTGGAAATTCACCCATATAATATGTAATATCATGGATGTACAATAGGGGATGTAGTCATAATATATGTCCAATAGTAATTAATGTAATAGTATGTAATAATAATATATACATTTAAATTAAGTTGATACTTCTAACAAACATCATAATCCAATGGTCCTGTAGAGATAATGGGATGTAGTGGTGGCAGTGTATATAAAATAAATACTAAACATACGTGCGCATATATATATATGCATATATATATTATTATTACGTAATATATGTATATACTGTATCTATATATTGAAATATGTTGGTTCAATTCTATGATGTTTTATCATCAATATTTGGTGGTCTAGTTTTGTGTTAACTGCTATATACTGGATATCTAACATAAATTCAGATTTTCACAAAGCACACAAACGTTATTTATATAATTGACCGAAACGGAGAATTTTCACTGCAATCTTCAGGGGGAATTGTGACATAGATCCAGCAAATCACATTATGGAGATCTCAAGTACCAACTGCGAACTGAGAAGGGAACAGATGTGGACATTTCAGCACCCTAACATGAATGTACCAGGTACCATTTTTGAAGCCATATTGTCGTGGGCATATGTACTTAGGCCTTTTATGTGGCATAGGTACTTCTATTTTAATAACCTGGAATGGCCACTGATGATACCCTGGATGTGTATTGTTGAGGTATAATATATATATATACAAAAAATAAATACACATATGTTGTGGATGCTTATCTATGATATTTGTTCGTGTATTTATGGCTTCCAGATGTCCTTTTCGCCCTAAGACTATGATTTATCACATGTTTACTTCACATATTCAAACATGTTGATTATTGCTAACTAAAAAAAAACATCGTCATGCAGATATTCACCGTAAACATCACAGGATGGAACTTCATGGCTGGTGAGTGCCGCCGGTAAGTTTTTTTGCATGGCCGACGATGTAAACCGCCATCTAAGATGGGGATATACCATCTGGTTATTTAACATAGCCATGGAAAATCACCATTTTTAATAGGTAAACCATCTATAAATGGGCCATTTTCCATGGCTATGTTAAATGAATAACCAGATGGTAATATCATATACCCTCTGGTAATTTAACATAGCGATTGAAAATCACCATGCTATTAATGGGCAAATCAACTATTTCTATGGGCCAGCTATTCAATAGTTTTGTATGTTTACCAGAGGGTAACACTTTTTTGATGCTTGGAGAATTCAGCGCCTGCGATGACCTTCCAGTGATGGGTTTATTTCAACATCTTCAACCCATCCAACTGCGGAGATATCCATGATAGGTTTCACCTCAGTTCACCGAACCGGATGTTATTTGGATCCGGTTACATGGTGGGGCCCCAGAGTTAGTTAACTTGATTTATAACTATGATAATCTGATAATTGTTTTTTCATTGGTTACAACTATACAGTTAGATGGGTTTCAAAACACACTTATAACTGGGGGGGGCCAGCTTGTAAATATATCGAAACCCAACTATGAATATAACCGTACGTATTGAGTTCTTTGTGGTTGTTTATTGGGTTTATGGTATAGAGATGACATGAGATAACTCCAATATATCAGCCCAGCTGTTTCCGTCGCTGAGGTGTGGCAACACGTCACGGGCCGGCCGGACCTGTGCGTCAAGCCAGGTGGGACGTCTGGAGATTTTGATCATGACAGCGGGGAACATGTTGAGATGATCAACTGGAGGATTCTTCGTGATTCATGAATGGTATTTAATGGTGAATTTCCCCAGTATTTAATAGTGAATTTAATGGTATTTAATGGATAATATTGGTATATACTGGTATTATCTGGTATTTAATGGTGAAATTAAATTTCTCAAGTTGTCTTCCATAATTGATCATTCTTCAGACTGGTTCATGAATGGTGAAATATCTCAAGTTATATCAACCATTATTTTTGGAATCCTGAATATAATGGATATAATGGGACTTGAACCCACCATGCAAATGGTGATTTCGTGGGATGTTTATGATGGGATAGATTTTGGGATATATGACGGGTGATGATAATGGATAGTATAGTGGCAACATATGTGCCACAATATTAGTAAGTTGGATAGTATAGTCATAATATTTATACCATATATATCCTCCAATGGATAGTATAGTGGTAACATATCGTAGGTTGGATATGCCATTGGAGGATGGTCATATATCCATTTTCATGGGGATTTTGGTCATCCCGTTTTTTACGGAATCCCAAATGATGGTGGAATGACCATAAACCACATGCCGAGTTTTGACCATGGCACATATGGTATATCATTATTTATCTTGCTGTGTATTGAACTCATGAACTCATTAGTTTATGTGTACTGTATATATATATGATTTTCCATTGAAGGGGTAACGGGATAGTTTTCTTACACTGGGATATCGGAGATGTAAGCCAACAATATCATGGTCATTTTACTACCAAATCTGGACCTTAAACGATATATTGACTGGGGGGAAGCGGCTGGGTTTGCAGTTTGCTACAACTTAACTATCTGTTATACATGAGGATTTTGAGTATACCAGCTAAACAGCACACGTTCGTCTTTTGGCATGGTATCTAAGAGCCAGTATGACGGCCTGTAACAAGGTCCCTACATTACTGCAGGGGTGTACCATGAGTTCAACTTGTCTGTAGCCTTACAGGGTGAAGCAGAAACCTATGGAATCCTCCAAGTGCCCGCAACAACTGCTGGTTGGTGGTTTGGAACATGTTTTATTTCCCATTCAGTTGGGATTTTCATCATCCCAACTGACGAACTCCACCATTTTTTAGAGGGGTAGGTTGAAACCACCAGCCAGACTGGCTGTTCAAAGCCATGGGTTTTCTGTGATTTATGACCATTTCCATCATCGTTCAGCGGCGGCTGGATAAAAGTTGTCAAAACTCTCAGGGATTCAAAGGTTAAATTAGCCTCTGGCAATTTAACGTAGCTATTGATTATAGAATAATTTGCTATTTAATCATGAATAATCCCATATAAATCCCATATATAAATCCCATATAATCCCCATCAAAATAGAATAATGCCAACATATTCTTAAGGGCCCCTGGGCCCCTTAAATCAGATCTCAGATGGAGGGCGGACAAATGGACAAAACGGCTGATAACCAGTATTCCCAAGGTATGAACCTGGGTAATTGTATTTCTTGGTACAGTAAGTACTATTACCCTCTGTCTCAGGGGAATATGGGAATATATTCCTAGTCATAATCGTCAATCTATTAGCAATATCAGACGCATTCATCAGTCAACAATATAAGAATATAAGCCACACATATATTGATATTTTTAAGCATATACTAGATTACAAGCCTTTATAAACCATTACTTTCGCCAGCAGAGAACAACCACAATTGGTGGTTAAACAACAAAAGACACATCCTAAATTTTACCCTCTGATAATTTAACATAGCTATTGAAAATGGTCATTTATAATTAGTTGATTTACCATGATTTACCCATTAAAAACATGTGATTTTCCATAGTTATGTAAACGTTTACCAGAGGGTACCATGTTTATGGGTGTCATAAACCATCCATATGGGTGCCATGACACCGACAGGTGATCGCTTGATGAAGGCAGATGGCCGTTGGGCCTTTTGTGAACAGGAGGCCACCGGCGGATAGGGATGGGACTTTTTGCCAGAAAAATGAAGATTTCATGGAATTGTTAATGGGATTATAAACCAACTTATAGTTAAATCTTATAACTATTGGTTATTAGTTCTGATCTATGTAAAACTATATATAACTATAACTTATATTGGCTATTGGTTATTGACCATGATGAACATAAACCAACTTATTGACTATTGTAACTATGGTAGGCACCTCCAATTTAGGTTCCAATGGCCGTTGAGAATTGTTGATGGCATGTACTTGGGATATAATTTGATATACTTGGGATATTTAGCCAACCACTATTTTTTGGGCAGTGTTTTTGTAGGCCTTTATATTTTTAATGGGAACAGATGGGAATAGACATAATTAGTAATGTGGGGTCTGTGAAACCTATTTGTGTAGTGAGTGAATTAATCAAGAATGATATCATCATTGCCAATCATCTGCTCGAAGGATTTGGGAAGTCAGTTTGAGGGAAACTTTTGACCGAGTCCATGCTTGGGAAAATCTTGCATCTCTGGGGGGTACCAAACATGAACAGAAACCAATCGTTTCCTGTAAATCTTAGCCTTGAGACTGCACATGCGTTAAATTATTTAAACCCCAGTTTTAGACAGAAAAGTAAAATACCTGCCAATTCGCTGGGAAAGATTATACTGTACATCATATTGGAAGTTATTTATGTATCATCAACATTGAATTGAATGAACATGAATCAACCAGAATATGGGAAATGTGGAAAATACTTGAAAACTGTTTTCAGAAACATGACATACTGGTTGGTGGTTTGGAAAATGGATTTTTGTGACTTTCCATCTATTGGGACTCATATGTTCAGAGGGTAGGTATACCACCAACCAGTATACATCTACATATTAAACATATAATATATATTAATAAAACATTATACATATAAAAACTATTAATAACATTTAATAAACATTATTAATCATCATGACGGACTCAATCATTCATCATGATTTACCATAATTAAGCCATTATGAACCAACTGTGTTAACCAGTATTACACATCTACATAAACCATAGCAGCCCGGGCTACAACATGCTACAACCTCCGTTGCCGCATGGGATGGTCCCAGTGTCAGGTTTGCCTGAACGACAGCCAGCAGGCCACTTGAAGGGATCGAATTGGGATGTAGCATGATGTAGCTATGAACCACTATTAATGAGGTTAATATGTGAATGATATAATTAAAGTTCCTCTGATTCACTATTAGTCACGATGGATATGGATATCACTATTAATGACTATTAATCATTATGGATATCACTATTAACCACTATGGATATCGCTATGATTAACCTCAAAAAAAGGTGATTAATGGTGATTAAAGCTAGTAATCACTATGAATCACCATTCATCACCATTCAGGTGAATGATAGCCTTCATCCCCATTCTGTAGGTACAAGATGTACTTTTTCCATCACTGGCGAGCCCCAAAGACCTGGATTTGCTAAGTCGGTGATTTTTCTTTGGAGATTTGTTTGTTTCTGTGTTGGGTTCCTGAAGCAAATCCAGAAATGGGGGGTACCAGAAATGGGGGCAGGTACCCCAATAGCTGGATGGTTTATTTCATGGAACATCCCTTTTTAAATGTGAGTGATTTACAATGGATAGCCCCATTTTAGGAAAACACCGTTTTTTGGCAAACTCATGCAAATTCGAGCAGAACGGGCTTTTCCACCACCATGAGCCCTTTTTTGGTAGGCTTATGAAGTTCATATTGTTGGAGTGAATGAGTGGCTAATAAACATATTGTATCGTTGTGTCAATGGAATATCACCGCCAAATAAAGATACATTGGGTACTAACTGCCATGCACATCCAAGAAAGAAGCAACTCTCATGGTTCCCGACCATAACAAATCAACTGTAGCTAAAAACAATTTCAGTATTATTAATCCCTTCCCCACTTCCCCCAATATTAAACAATATTAAATAACTTCCTAAAATTCCTGCTTTAGCTTTGGATCTGTTCTTTTTAGGAGCCCACTTCTGGGATGTATTAATATTCGTGGGATGAGATTAGATGATGTAAGATATAGTTGGCCATGTACTACGGCATATCTTCCGTTAAAATCCCATTTTTTGTCATATGAAAAATCCGTATCACATATTCCCATGATATCCCAATGATATCCCATCAACATTCCATCAAACCACCATGTTTCTTTTGCTTCAATATCCACGATAAATTTCATAAATCCCCTCCATGAAGTCCCATGAAATAGCAGGAGGGCCCCCCCAGTCGTAAGTTGGTTTGTAAACCCCTGTAACTATATATAGTATTATATAATTCTATCCTCCAAAAGCCAAGAGTTAACCAATTGTAAGTCAGCCTAGCTATCTTGAATTTATGCGAGTTGAATGTTTGTTGGTTTAGTTTCACCCCACAGTTAGTTATAAGTATCATACACATTCATAAACCATAGTGAAATTGGAGTTATGCTCACCAACTTCCCTATCATCAATCAGCTATAAATCTCATAGAATCCACATGTTTGCTAGTTAAATCACCCATTTTCCTATGGTTTTCCTATGGTTTTCCTATGGTTTTCCTATGGTTTTCCTATGGTTTTCCTATGGGCCCCCACCTTCCTGGCGCTGCGCCTGGCGCCAGGCGCAGTATCTGGCCACGCCGGACCTTGCGGCGCAGCAGGAGCGGCGCATGGTCATGGAGTCTGGGCACCGCAGCGGGATCGCGATGAAAGGTCGGTGCGGAGAATTGGGATTAGTTAACCTAGAATAGTTACAATTGAGATTAGTTAATCCATAGTTATAATTGGGTAATCCTATAGAATTAGTTACATAGAATGGGTTATAGTGTAATTGGGATAATAGTTAATCCCATGTTATATTGGGATATAATTGGGATTAACTATCCTATATAGTGTATCTATGTGTATCTTAGTTAATGTATCTTAATTAACTTAGTTAACTGTATCAGCCCATGAGTTATAGTTATAGTGTATCTGAAATCAGCCCATTGATTTTAACTGTGTAATCCCATAGAATTAGTTAACTATAGTTAATTATAGTGTATCTTAGTTAGTGTATCTTAATTAACTTAGTTAGTTGGAATTTTAACGTCATGGGATTAATTGGGATAACTTAGGATAACTAACATTATGGGATTTTAGCATTTACTAGCCATAGTGCAATTGGGATATATTTGGGATTAACTATAGTTAGTGTACTAACCAATTAGCCATTGGGATATATTATAACTAGTAGTTATAGCTATAGTTAATCCATTGGGATATAATTGGGATTAACTATAACTATAGTTAGTGTACTGGGGTTAGTTAATTGGTTAGTAACATGGCCATTCGAATGGTTACTTAATTGGTTATAGTTAGTTAATAACCATGGCCCATTAACAATTGGGCCATGGAGTTAGTTAACTACTTAGCAAATGGATTGTAATATTTGTAATTGGGATATAGGAGGTTATATTATATCCCCAGTTACTAACCAATTAGATAACTCCATGGCCCATCTAAGTACTGAAATGGAAGACATTGGTGCTTTGTTTACCATGACATGGAAGATTTTTCGGAAATAGACTCTAGAAATGGAAGATTGATGTACTCAAGAAAGGAAATGGAAGACATTTTTACCAACAATGTGGGAGAAAACTGGGATTTTTCAGCTTAGCAAGGTGGTAATTTTCATAACTATGGTAAGCCTCAACTCTCTGGGATCCAACCACCGGTGGCACGCTGGACCTGCAGTCAACACTTCCATGGTGTACTGAGCTTATCCCCCTATTGAACGTACCCCGCATTAATGAAAAACTAGGGCTTTTGTCCAATCTTGGAACAATTTAGGTTGGTCAAATTGATGTTTACTTGATCCCTTTTAGAATTTTTAGAAAACATATTTCAGAATCAAGGTCCAATTTGAGGGTGAAGGCCCCCCTAATAATAAAAACTAGTTGACGCCGTTTGTTTTCTATTAGGGTCCGTCTTTCAACACCGAACTTGTTGGATTTTTAACAAGGGTTTTGATTTTTTTCGGGAAATCTCCGAAATCAAAATTTTGGCAATATTTTGCTTATAGATGTAAAAAGGAATTTGACCGATGTTGAAATTGACAATATTCGATGTTTTGAATTAGGAAATTGTTTTCAACAGCCGGGGACAGATTTGAAATCCAATTTCGGCAATATGTCAGATAGATTTTAATAGGAGATGATTCCATCGATATTGAAATTGAATATGTTAGCTGTCCAAAATCAAGGATTTTATTGTGATTAGGAGGAAGCTCTGCATACGAATAGTAAATACACCCCAATACATCCAAATACTAAAACTACTCTAGGTGTTTATTGTTCGGCGAGGGGGACCCCCGTTGAGTATTCGGCGAAAAGGGATTAGTAGCTTCCAAAAAGTGTGAAAACTAGGATGGTTCAATGGTCATTTCAGGAACCTAAAATGGAGGTACTGTAACACAAAAGGCCATATTTTGTGGGTACGGTATATTCCCTTACATAGGTCTTACATAGGCCTTACTTATATATGGTAGGTCCGGTAGGTACCTCCAATTTAGGATCCTGAAATTCCCATTGAATGGTAGTTTTGAACATATTCACTTCTTATTTCCAGGTGTACAACTTTTTGTCAACAATCCTGGCAAACAATCCATTGTTATTCCCCTGTGATATTCCCATTCTATCATGATTTTTGCTTCAATCAGCATTTTTCAGATGGTTTTCCGTTTTAAAACTAGATCCTCATGTTCATATATGGTTATATGGTTTCCCATGGTTTTCCTATGGTTTTCCCATGATTTTCTGGGTAAGCTTTGCATTTTACCAGGGTTTTCCCATGGTTTTCTGTTGGTTCATGTTGGTTGCCCCTGTGGCGATCGTCGTCGATGTTGAAATTCGAGGTTCATGCGCCCGGTGGCGCGACCAGCGCCACCCTTGCGACCCAGATTGGAGGTGAGCCTACGAATCGAGTTTCCCAAAAGCAGTGAACTACTATCCAACAATAACTAACAATTATAGTAACTAACAAGTATAGTAACTAACAATTATAGTAACTAACAATTATAGCAACTAGTGATTACCAATCATTTGTTGAATAAGCAACTAACAAATATATAGATTACTGGTGACTATTTATAATGAATGGTAATGTTTGTTCATACTTAGGGGGAATCTCACTGGTGTTTCATAGTTGTGTTTTTAGTGATGAATGGTATATGGTGAATATGATTGATGAATGGTGATTAGTTATTAACAGAATAAGTGGTTCCCCACCTGCCAGGTGAGGGTTGTTAGATTTTATGTCAGTTGCCTCCTCTTGCCTCGTCCTCCTCCTCCTCCTCTCCTCCTCTCCTCCTCCTCTCCTCCTCCTCCTCGTCGTCCTCCTCCTCGTCGTCCTCCTCGTCCTCCTCGTCCAACTGCGACCCTCGACGCACAGTGTTCTCTGTCGGACCTCAACCACGACCATCCACGCCCAGTGTTCCCTGCCGGACCTCAACCACGACCATCCCCGCCCAGTGTTCCCTGCCGGACCTCAACCACGACCATCCACGCCCAGTGTTCCCTGCCTGACCTCAACCGCGAGTATCCGCGCCAAGTGTTCCCTGCCGGACCTCAACCTGGGACCTTCCCAGCTCAGTGTGCACCGCTGGACCTCAACCGCCAGAACATATGCCAGGTAGAATGCCAGATATGCCAGATAGCATGCCAGATAGAATGCCAGAAGGTATAGTGCCAGAATGTTTGCCAGAGAATGCCATTTGCCAGATAATATGCCAGAAGATATGCCAGATAGAATGCCAGAAGTATGCCAGAAAGAATGCCAGAAGATATGCCAGATATGCCAGAAGATAGAATGCCAGAAGATATGCCAGATAGAATGCCAGAAGATATGCCAGATAGAATGCCAGAAGGTATGCCAGATAGAATGCCAGATAGAATGCCAGATAAAATGTCAGATAGAATGCCAGAAGATTTGCCAGTAACAAAATGTATAAATCTCATGGTGGGGATCACACGAAGTAAAGTAATTGGTGGTTTGGAACATTTTTTATTTTCCCCAATAGTTGGGATGATGATCCAATCTGACTCATATTTTTCAGAGGGGTTGAAACCACCAACCAGATTATTATAGTGAATCTGTGAATTATAATAACCATTAACATTCAATATAATTTAATATACCTGCAAATTATATTGTACAAAAGTAATTCAATATATAATTCAATTGATAATTATAACTATCAGTGAATCTGTTGAATTATTATTATCAGTGAATATTATATTATTATTCTAGTGAATTATTCAAACTTTTCAGATCAGTGAATTATTAGAATTTACCCAGATTTACTGGGAAACTACATATCTAATGTTGGTTGTATCCCTTTTGATGTAGGTTGAACCATGAAAAATAGGGATGCAACAAACGTCAACCAACACTTAATGGGAATATCGTGGGAAATAATTGGGTCTAGATGGGTCTAGTACTTTAGTAAACTAACATAGCCTGCATCAACCGACTGACTGATTAGGTACGAACTAGTACTTTGATCTTTTGCTATCAATGGCAAAATTAGTCCTAACCAGCTAAAAATCAGTTTTTCCCCACCTGCCAGGTGAGGGTTGTTAGATTTTATGTCAGTTGCCTCCTCCTGCCTCGTCCTCCTCCTCCTCCTCTCCTCCTCTCCTCCTCTCCTCCTCCTCCTCTCCTCCTCCTCCTCTCCTCCTCCTCTTGCTCCACTGCGATCCATGTCAGTGTGCCCTGCCGGACCTCAACCACGACCATCCACGTCAGTGTGCCCTGCCGGACCTCAACCACGACCCTCGACGCACAGTGTTCCCTGCCGGACCTCAACCGCGAGTATCCACGCCGTGTTCCCTGCCGGACCTCAACCACGACCATCCCCGCCCAGTGTTCCCTGCCGGACCTCAACCACGACCATCCACGCCCAGTGTTCCCTGCCGGACCTCATGTAGGAAGATAAAATGTCAGATAGAGTGCCAGAAGATTTGCCAGGTAGAATGCCAGAAAATATGCCAGAAGATATGTCAGATAGATATGCCAGAAGATATTCCAGAAGATATGCCAGATAGAATGCCAGATAGAATGCCAGATAGAATGCCAGAAGATATGTCAGAATATATGCCAGAAGATATGCCAGATAGAAAGCCAGAAGATATGTCAGAATATATGCCAGAAGATATGCCAGATAGAATGCCAGATAGAATGCCAGAAGATATGTCAGATAGAATGCCAGAAGATATGCCAGATAGAATGCCAAATAGAATGTCAGAAGATATGTCAGATAGAATGCCAGAAGATGTGCCAGTAAGAACATGTATAAATGTCATGGTGGGGATTACACGAAGTAAAGTAATTTTGTTGACAGGTATCTACGATTCACCATGTAGCTATGAAAAATTGCCCATGTATAGCTGATTTACCTGTTAAAGATTGTGATTTGCCATAGGCATGTGAAATTACCCGAGGGCGTGACATGTCATTAGTCTGGATTGGTAATGTTTAATTATCGATGATGAAAAATGAAGACACGGAAAAATAACATGAAATATAGAGAAACATGGAGGTTTCATTGATCGAACTACGGAACAAATCCAACATCTATCAGTGGTAACTCATACCTATGAAACTTATCCGATCAAATATGTCACAATGTGCTGCCCCCTGTACAAGTTGGTTTTAAACCCCTATCAATCAGACTAATGTATACACGTGCCGCAAACCCTAGTCAGCCGACGTAGTTACAAACCAACTTTGCTAGCCAAAAAGGGCACTGCATTGTAGCAGTAGTTAATCAAGTAAACAAAGAACAAGAACACGTCAATAGATGAATATTGGTTGAGCATGATTTTCTTTTTATCCTACAATTTTTGGTGGACTGTAGTTAGAATAGTTTAAACCACCAAAAATGGGCAGCTTTGGCACTGAAAGAATCCCAATGTGGTTGTATTCAATTTGCACCGATTTTAGTTTTGTGTTGTATATTATATATATATAGGTATATATACTTGGTATGCAAGGAACATCGTGGAACTGGAACCCAACTGACCCCTATGTTGAGGGGAATGGACAATTGTTTTCTCAGTTTTCTGCATTGTGTTTGCTTATAATTCAACCATCCAAGTGGAGGTTTACCCATCCAAATAGCAATTTTTATGGTTTAATCTTTCCACACGTAATGTTGTCTGACCAATAGTGATATCTTGTCAATAGTAGAAACAATTTTCCGCAACTCCAATTTTTCTCCAATACTAAAAGTCAATTAGCTCTATTTACTTTTAGTATTGCCAAAAGAGTCATGTTCAGACCTTGTCCAGAGGGCATGGCCAATAATGGACCCAACATGGCAATAGTAGAATTTTTTTTCCCAACTCCATTTTTTTCTCCAATACTAAAAGTCAATTAGCTCTATTTACTTTTAGTATTGCCAGAAGAGTCAAGTAAAGCAAATCCTTTTCAAAGCAGCCTTCACTTTTGATTTGCAAACACCTAGATTCCAGAAATCTGATCCCAGTCCAAAACAGACGATTTCCTTATTAAACTCTTATTTAAAAATTGAAAAAAACAGGTCCGCAAAGGGTACCCCCTTTGCAAGCCCGAGAATAGCAATAACAAACCTGCACCAGGCATGGCAATAGTGGATTTTTTTTTCCGCAACTCCAATTTTGTTGTCCTCCTTCTCCTTCTCCTTCTCCTTCTTCTCCTTCTTCTCCTCCTCCTCCTCGTCCTCCTCCTTCGCCTCCACCACCTCTGCCCCCACTTCCATGTCCACTTCCGCCTTGCCAACTCCTCGCCAATCTCTTCGCCACTCGAGAATCTATCAGATACATATCATGATCCCAGCTATAGATTCCCACAAATTGATTATTATAGGAAGGTTGACCCCCCCCTAAAATTTTTAAAAAAATAGGGGGGGTATTTATTATTAGGCAGCCAACATTAAACATATTGTCTTTGATTGGACTTGGAGGTTTCCTAAAATAGGGGTACCCGTAAATCATCCATTTTTAATAGATTAATATAGATTAATAGGATGTTCCATTACAAACCATTCCATTTTGGGGTACCCCCCCCCATTTCTGGAAACCACCATATGCCGTTTGGTACCTCGGTGGAGACTGCTTAAGGGACTCTTGAAAATCCTCATTTTTTGATGATTTACCTTATTAAACATGGGGAATACATGGGGATTTTCCATAGCGAACTGTGAGTTTACCAGAGAGATCCAGTATGATTTTCCATCATATTTTCATCATACCTGTACCATGTGATGATGGGTTGAAATGACGAGCATATTTTGGGAGCTAAAACCGGCAATGAGCCGAAAATTTGTGCTCTAAGCTTGTGAAATATTGTCATGTGCCCATGCATTAGAAACTCATCTGAAGCGGCCTATATCATCATCCCTACATGATTAGTTTCGTTTGCAGGACCTAGTGGACTGGACTATAGTCTCAGAAACTAACAAAAGTAAAAAAGGTTCGTAGAATCAGAAAGCATGTGAAGATAATCATGGATATAATTGTATTATATTGTATTTATAATATGTTATGATTACATTCATCAATGGAACATATTCATTTCACAAAATAGATCATTTTATGTAGATTGAAGTCCTGAAAAGCCCTCCGGATCACCAAATTTCAGGGACCATCAGACTAACTTCCCCAGGTTTTTGGTGAACATTTGCCTCATGAAAGCAACATCAAGGTTAATAACATCATGGTTGTTTTCATTGCAATTTTGCATGTTATCCAAGCACCACCAGAACTGCCTCCAGCTGTCTCTTAGGCTCAAATGGCAACAGGCCTGGATGCATTTCCGAAATGAAATAATTCGTGCTAAACCTGATAAACTTCGGTAGAGTTCAGATCCCGATGTCCTATATTTAATCAGGCAAGACCATGTCTGCAAATATCGGTTGAAACTACTTGTTTTACTTCATCAAAGTCACTTAGAACAAACAAAATCTGCATAGCAGCCTGCATCCCACCTTGGACATCTCCCATGGAACTCCTGGAGCTTCGGCCTCTTCGGCCTTTGGCTCCGGGTCATATCCCTCACCGCCCCCGTTTCGCGGTGTCACCACGTGTCACCGCACCGCGTCGTTGGCGCCGCGGGCTGCTGGCGGCGCTGCCGGTGGTGGCGCGGGCGGCGACGCGGGCGACGCGGACGCCGGTGGCGAAGGGCGAGGTGCGGCCGGCGCAGCGGGTGCCGGAGACGATCCAGGCGCCGCCCTACGTGGCGGAGCCCGAAAAGGCGGATGGGGAAAATGGGATGGGATGGGGGATTTTCATGGGGATGATCGGATGGTTAGGTAAGAATTTACCCAAGGATTTTTTTGGATTAGTGATTAATAGTGATTAATGGGATGGTTTACTTGCAATTGTTGTGATTAATGTTGTGATTAATATTGACTACGAATGATGAATGGGATAACTATGGATGATCAATGTGATAATTAATGATGGGGATGGGGATGGGAAGGGGAAATCTCTTCGATGTATGGGTAGGTTTCTTTAGTATTTTCTTATTTTTCTTGGACATGTTGGATGGATGTAAGTACTTAAGTCCTTATTCTTTAAGAACGGTCATGTCTTAGGATTTTTGCGCTGCGAGTTTCCGGACTTGAAAGTTTTAAAAAATATGGTTATGTTTTTTTCTGTTGCTCACATTCGCCACGTATGGTCATGTTGAATTCTGAGACTCCCATCGTTTCACCTCAATTTCTCCCAAAAGCTCGATCAGGCTTGGATCCCACTGACACTGCTTCCCATTCCTTTCTCCAATGTCCCATGGATTTTCCGAATGTTTCATCATCCATCCCCAGCAAATAGAATTGGTGAAGGTTAGTTTGATACAACTCAACCTTTTGCCATGGTGATTCGTTCAAATCTAACTTAAGATCAAGGTCGGATTGCTCAACCTGCTTTTTTGGTGTACCCTCAACCAGCAGTACTGCTGCTGTTCTTTCACCGCAGGTAATTTGGTCCCCCGGTATCGAAGCTGAAGGTTCAATCTCCAGGTTTGAAGATGGCACCCAGTAGAACTACTTGGATATAGCTGGTATGTCAGGTATCACCAGCATTTTTACATAAGTTCCATCATTTTGTTTTCAACATGTCCATATATATGCCCAGTCAACTTACATCGATTGTTTTCCAAACACAGTTCGGGGACAGTCATCATCCCCCATGTTCACTATTTGTTATTTTATACAGTTTTTTGTCTCTTAAGATGTTAATGTTTCGTTTCTCCAGATTTCTCAGAAGACCTCATAAGTTCACAAGTTTAGATGTCCAGTTTTCCGTTGTTTTTGTTCCATATTTTTTTCCATAGTTTCCCATCTTTTTCCATACTTTTCCATCATTTTTTCTCCCCATCCATGCCATCCATGCCATCCATGCCATCCACAGGTCCGCGGCTGGTGGAACTCGCAGATCGTCCCGAAGACGGAGGAGCAGGTGGAGAAGATGCGTCGCGCCGGGCGCCTGGCGCACGAAGCCTTGGACCTGGCGGAGACGTTGATCGAAGTGGGAAGAACCACGGAGGAAATGGACAAAGAACTGCATACCTTCATTTGTAGCTTGGACATCATGGACATGGAAGATTATTGTTTGAATTTGTTGGCATTATTTTTCGGAATTGGATGGAATTGGATCATTTGTGCCATGGTTTATAATGGGATAATGTTCCATTAATCAATGGGAATGTAAGGATTTATATATATATATCCATTTAAATAAACATATATATATATATATTTATGATATATATACCTTCATATTTGTGACCTGGTTTATAATGTGATAATGATCCATTAATCAATGGGAATGTGAGGATATTTAAAATGAATATCTGCATACCTTCATTTGTAGCTTGGAAATGACGGACATGGAAGATTTTTGTGATCATTTTGCGGAATTGGGATTATCATGGGGATAATGATCATTATAATTATATACCTTCATCTGTCGCTGGGTTCATATGAGCAAGGGTCAAAAGACGCTATGAAAGGCTTCAATTACGATCCGCCATCACTACTCAAAATATGTGATTTACTGTGTGTAGCGATAGGGGGCCTTATGTAGCGATACCTCTTTTTAGACTTTGTTTATGATTGAAGCTTCCTGTTGGGCGCATGACTTTCCAATCTTTTGATGTCAGAGTGCGACACTGGAGCAGTCGCAGTGGGCTGGTCTTCCTGGGTAGTTGCAAGATGGCCTGGCCTGTCGTCAAGTATATATGAGATAGTTACATTAAACAATATTGATATATTGTGGTATGTTGATCTATAAGGTATGCAAGAAACTAATTCATAACGCATCATGAGCTTGATGATGGTGATGATGCTGATGATGATGGTGATGGTGATGATGTTGATTCAGGTAGTGACCGTGCTGAGATATGTTGAAAAAGCATCCTTGTGCGGTCACGGACGCTTCTCCAAAGCCACTGTCCAGGAGTTGCAACATGGAGCTTGTCAGAATTTCGTGTCACTTGAAACATACACCTGAGATCACACATTTTCTGGTCCCCGTAGCGATGCCCGAAGCGATACCCCTCGATACCCAGAGCGATACCTGAAATCCATGAAATTAGGGAGTACCCCACATGGTCACTTGAAACTATACAACTTGTGCTATAGGTGGAAAAATATGGGAAGTATGAACAAGGGTACCCTCAAGTTCTTACTGGGTTAGTTCTTAAAGGGTTCATTTGGTCAGGGTTTTGCCGATTCATTTTGGCGTGGTATTAGGTTGCAAAGGAGGCGGGGTGAAGAAAAAAAGGCGCCGGAAACAAGGCAGCACAGGCAAGACAAGCCAAGACAAGCCAACACAAGCCAAGGGCAGCCTCCGAGGTCAGATGACCTGCAGTGAGTCCGGCTGGTGTCTAGCTGAAGCTGTCGACGTCAGCCTTGGTGATCAAGTAAGAGTTTGAATTTCCCTGGAGATACCATCGCAAGGGGAATAAGAATCCGATTCCTCATCTGGATCCTCCTCTTCTAGCAGCAATTCTGCCGCCTAGTTGGTGAAAAGGGTGCTGGGACTGTGTGTAGCGATAGGGGGCCTTATGAAGCGATGCCATGACCTCACCACATGAATTGAGTTTTGACCGTCGCACATATGTACCCATTTATTTTTTTTTAAAAAATAGATTGATATGAAATTCTAGAATATCATAATCTTCATCTGTGCCATGGAAAGGAAGATGATTATTGAGGGATTTACATTTCCATTTATGGTGCTTATAATGGGGATAATAATTATATCGAATGATAATTTATTTGTGCCATGGTCAAACATAACGGGGTAGTGGGATTTATATACCAAGTTGTCATGATATACCAATTATATATATACGTGCCCATATTGTGACCTTGCTGTGATAGTGGGTTTATGTACCCATTTGTGGACATGATATATTCATTTCACTGAGAAACATTAATCAATAGGGATTGGTCATCAATCAATTATTTTTCAATGATGGAGACAAAGAATTGCATGCCTTCATTTGTACCTCGGATGAGAAGATATGTTGGCATTTTATGGCGATTATATACCCATGTATTCATGTATACAGATTTAAGCATCAACAGTGGGGACGATCATACGGATGATGATTCGTTTGTACCTGGGTGAGACTGTTGGAATATGTTGGATATAAAGTGGGAACATGTTGTACCTGAAAAAGGGAATGCTTATTTTATTTAAAGGTTGAACTTGTTAATATTTAGTTTTGGATAGCTGATTACTGCATACCTTCATATGTGCCATGGAAAGAAAGACCCTCATGAATCCACAAGGGATTGGGTGAAATAATTTGCAAAGGGGCTTACTACTATGATATATATATATTTATATATATAATATGGTATGTTGTTTTCGTTATATATAATGGCGTTATATATATATATACATATGGTATGTTGGTTTTTTGGCATGTGGATATCATTTTTTTTGTGTCTGGTATTATCAATGGTCCATTAGTTGACGGTCCATTGAGAGTCCAGACATAAAAATGCAGTTTTGCAGGGAACCATCTGAGATTGTTCATATTTGATACCCTCTGGGAATATCTATGGTGAATGATGGTTGATGCTGATGAATGGTGGTTATTCATGGCTAATAGTGAATTAATTGTGTTTGATGCCCTCTGGTAATTTCTTACATAGCTATTGAAAAGCTGGCCATAGAAAATTCGTTGATTTACCAAACTATAAAAAATGGTGATTTTCCATAGTTATTTAAACGTTTACCAGAGGGTAGTAAAGTTATTATATCATCATATGTGATTAACATATAGATAGTGCCATGTCAACTTCACTATTTTTAACATATGTTACAGTAAGCCATATATCATATGATATAACCATATATAACCCATAAAATGCTGAACCTTTTTTAAAAAAACATATTTCTATATTGCCACCACTCGTATTTTTCATCAAACTGGCATATATCAGCGCTGGTCACCAGCAGGTGATCACGGAGCGTATCCCAGTGATCTGCAATACAAAGGTGGGGATGGGTGGACACAAAAATCCCGTCATGACATTCGCGTATGACTGGAATTTTGTGTCATAAGGATGTGGGATTTTTGACACTATGGGTCCATGATGGGTGGATCATCATATGACACTATTTATATGACTATGAAATGACTGGGGGAATAAGTGTCCAAATAAGTGTCCATAAACCATCATGAATCATGAATCGATCAATCGATCAATCGCCAGGTTTCCCCAAATCTGTGATGATCAGCATCAACGAGGTGATCTGTCACGGCATCCCGGACGCTTGGGAACTCGAGCCGACCGTTGCGCGATGAGGATAGAAATTTACAGGGTAACCATAGGAAAATGGTGATTTCACCAAGAAGAAATGAGGACTTTGTAGGATTTTTCCTGGTTTATGGTAGTTTTATGCTCCGTATACCTACTATAATTTATAGTTACTTGGCTTAAGCAACTTATAGCTGTGGGGGGCCACGTTGTAGTAATCAATAGACATCCAAGATGGTTGATACGGCCATATCTGGTGACATTGATATTGAGTATATATAATTATGGGGCTTAGCATATAAGATTGTTCTCAATGTCATCAGAAAGGGTGGTATATGTTCTTATCATCATTTGTTCTTATTGGTATTATATTGTGGTACCTTTGTCACACCTTTGTCTGCATAATACTGTTATCTATGTCTTGTGTTATTTTGACAAGCATTAGCAGAGAACCACTTAAAGCATTGTTGAACCCCCACAACAGATTTGCACATATCATTTTTTGTCCATCCATCGTAAGGTGGCTGTGCGCCATGCCATTCGGCAATGTCAGGGGAAGATCTATCTATAGGGGCATTGCTCGTGCCCTGCATGGCTGAACAACTGATGTGTATTCGGCGATCTATCCCTTGGTTATGACTAACATAGCCATGGAAAATCACCATGCTATTAATAGGTAAACCATCTATTTCTATTGGCCATGGCTTCCATGGCTATGTTAGTCATAACCAGAGGGTATCATTTCTTGCCAGGTCATGTTCTAGTGATTTACTTGAGTTTTGCTGATTACCATCACTGGTATGATAGTTCAAGTAATCCATTCCCCCGTTCATAGTAAACACCCCCCAGGAACCATGGTTTAGTAGGAGATGAAATATGATGAAATCACATAATTTGGACCATACAAGGACCATACAATTGGGGTGTTTAATCTTAGGATGATGCTCAGCTGTTTAAACAATTGTTCTTTTAACCATACATCTGGGACATGTTTAATTGGGGTGTTTTAGCCATACAATTGTTCTTTTCCCATCATGAGGGCGATACTCAGCTGGACCTCACAACTGAGGATTTAAGACCACTGGAAGATGGTGACTTGGTGGTTTTGCCGCGGCCTTTTTTGAGGTTGCCCTATGGTAATAACTAACATATATAGATATTGAAAATGGCACTGTCACATTGTCACATTTAGTTCGTTAATTTACCTACTAAAGATTGTGATTTTCCGGTTCACAAACTGTTTGTTTACCAGAGGTTAAACCATTTTCAGTTTCAAAAACGAGCAGTTCACATTATCTCGGTTGAGGCATGCCACCGAAGTGCTGAATCAACAGCAGGACCATCAGGATTCCAATCTGGCTGCAACTTGTGAAAGTAAATTCAGTTGAATCACTCCAATTATTGACATTTGTTTCACTGTATACCCATTATATCATCATATATATATATATTCCCATTATATGCTAATTGCAACACCATGTTAGTGAAAATCATTTAAAGCCACATTTCGTTGGTCATGTTTCCCATTAAACCAAAAACCTTGGCCGAATCTCTGAATATCTCTAGTAAATGAACATAAAATCAATCATTCTTAACCATTATTAACCATTTTAAAACTATTTTAATACTATTTTAATACTATTTTAATCACCTGTTAGGGTAACTCCAGTAAATGAACATAGACCCTGGTAGGGGTACGATTAGTTTCCACTATACTAATGGGTAGTATCTCCAAATTCATGGACCACAGGTGATCTGGTGAACGTCGACGTGACCTTGTACCTGGACGGGTTTCACGCCGACACCGCACGAAGCTGGATCTGCGGCGAGGGCGATGAAACGGGACACCGTGACTTGGTGTCGATGACGTTTAATCAAATCAAGAGAGATGGTGAATTGGAATATGAAGATTAGCAGAGATAGAGATTTCCGTAATTCTATTATATGGTAATATTTTTATAAAATATTATAAAAATGATGGTCATATTATTATTTCCGTATATCATCACTATTACGGGAATATATAGTAATTGAGATTTCAATTTTGATAATATACGGGAATCCTCACAGGGAATACTCTCCCAGTAGGTCATAAACCACTGGCTCAATGGGGCGGGCCATGCGAAGAAACATACTGCATGGGTTGACACACCAAGGAGTCTTAGATCGCAACTTCGTCAAATCTCGTGGTTCAAGTCACCATTTGCTTCATGATTCCAATGTTCACAGCTAGAAACACCCAAAATGTTCTAATTATATCAGAGATGTTCTATATATTTCTGACTTCCCACTTCAACTTACTCATATTTTCCCCAAGTTTCATAGTACAATTCCCAATTTCCATCCATTTGTCCCATATTTTTCACCGGAAAACCCTGCCTCTTCCCTTTGGAAACGCCGTTTCCACCGAGGCCTGGTCAAGGCCACACGCGAAGCCCTGGCGGCGGCCATCGCCAGCTGTGCTTCGGAGAAGCCGTTGAAGTGCATCGGCGAGGCGGTGGCGGAGGCGAAAGCCGCGATGCCGCCGCGAAAGGTGGTGATTTTCTTTGTTGGTTTTTCATGAAAATCATGATGAATGGATATGAATGGTTTATAATGGAACATCTTATTACAATGGATGATTGAAATAGAAAATTCCCCTACATCATCCATAACACTCGTTGGTGATTCATGTGGTTAAAACAATGTCATAAAGCATCAGTTTCAGTGAGATCAGCCATCCATCCACTGTCGAAAATCATGATGAATGGTGCCCAGATGCTCCATGGTGCTGGAATATTTACCTACATTGACCCTAAATTTCACCCAAATGTAGGTAATTCTACCATATATGGAGCATATGGGTTGATTACCAATCATTAGTTGGACAAGTAACTAACACTCATAGATTACTATTGTGACTATTTATGGTGAATGGTGATGTGTGTTCATGGGGAATCTCACTGATGTTTCATAGTTGTGTTTTTTCTAGGGATGAATGGTATATGGTGAATATGTATGATGAATGGTGATAAATTAATTATCTGACTTGGCGAGACGATCTAGGAAACAGGAAGCTGGTGATTAATTATTAGTTGTTAAAGGGAACGGAACAACTAACTAACATTTTCTAATAGTTGGATAACTGGATAACTTGGAAAACGAACCAAATACCGTACTGGTCATTCCTGGGGATTAATGGAATTTATGGGACTATTTTGGGATGACTAGCTGACAATGAGAATGTGAGTTATAGCACGATAATGCGTTTTTATGATGATTGCTTAAGTAGTGAGTTTAGTTGAATAGCGGTTTATTCGTAAGTAACAATTCCAGTGAGTTCAAACTGCTGCAACTAACCAACAGGGATCATGTTAGATATTTTTTTCTCGGGAAGGAATGAGCAATTGGATTTGTTTGGTGATGAATAGCTCGCGAAATTCACGGTGATTAATTGTCATCAATGGTGATTATATAATAGTGATTTTCATGGTGTTTAATTATTGGTGATTCAACATGTGATTATACAATGGATGTTGATTGACACTTTCTTTAACTCGCAGTTATAGTATTAGAGATCAAACGCAAAGTATTTTATGTATATATGATAAATAGTCATTAATGCAACAGTGATTAGTGATTCATGGGATAGTTAACATGATTTGCTAGCAATCATTACTACAGGTCTAACTAGCAATTATACATGTTTTGTTTGTGATTTTTGATGAATAATCAACTAACACCTATCATGAATGGTTATTACCTATGGTGATTAAGTATCATGAATGGTCATTATACCCTCCGATAGTCAAACGTGGCAATGCAACATCCCCGAACTAGCCATGGAGGTTTGTAGCTGAAAAACCGAAAAAAAAACAAACTGAAACTGAAGCTATACGGTGTGTTTTCCATTGCCACGTGGAAAATTCCCGGATGGCAATTTTGGTGAATGGGATTTTTTTCCAAAGCAACCGTAGAGATTGATAGTTATGACTATTACTCATGAATGATTCATCGGATTGTGGGTTTGGTATGGTTTGGCCAGTAAAGCGGATGACATAGCATATGACCCTATGGTAATCAAACTTGGCAATTCAAATCATAAATGGGTTGTTACTGGGAATATCGTGATTAAAGAAAAACAACAAAAACAGTGATTTAAACGGGAATATATGGAATACTAATGGTCATACAAACAGGAAAACAAATGAATGTTACCCTCTCGTAGTTTTTCACGTCGCCGTGGGTACAAGCCGTGCCTGGAATTTTATTGGATATTTTTTACATCGAACTACATGGGTTAACAGTTTCATGTTCTCGGTTCAAGAAAGCAGTTGTTCTTGTTACAACAAACCATTGAGATAGAAAAGTGATTTTCTACAAACACAAATAGTTTTAATAATGTACTTCTCAAATACTACTATGGATTGAAGAAATCCTGCACCACCTTGATTGAAACCCTTTAAATCATGGCATAAACCGCCTATCAACTGGTGATTTCGCTGCACCATGATCTTCTCCGACAGGTCGCGGAGCGCGAACACTTCGGCATCGTGAAGACCTTAGTGGGCCACGGCATCGGCGAGTTCTTCCACGGCGTGCCGCAGATCTTCCACTGCCGCAACAGCGACAACAGGCCGGACCGGCTGGCGGAGAGCGGAGAGCGGGAGCGGTGGAACATGGCGCCATTACCCTCCGGGACATATGGGATTTATAGGGGATTTAAAGGGGATATATAGGGATTTTTAGGGGATTCTAATCGTGATTGATGGCCTAATGAACTAACTTTATTGTGGTGAATAGTGATGAATTTAATGAATGGTGTTTATTCATCATTAACGAGATAGTAAAATCTAGCAATTCCTGATGATTAGTGGTGATTAGTGGTGATTAATGGTGATTAATTCGATGATGATGTCTGGGGGTCGGATGATGAAAACCATGAGAATTCCCCATGTCTACCCCATGTCTAGAACGCTTGAAACGGAAAAGAACAGAATGTGTCACCATTTCATGACTTATGTATCAGGTTGGTGGTTGCTTGTTTTTTTTTGTTTTTTAAGGGGTATATACCAACAATAGTCGGCTTCAACACGTTAAACATGAGCAAATTGGGGGTGAATTTTGGGTTACCCCTGCAAGAAACCTCCAGTGAAGAGATTCCCCATGGATTCCCCACCCAGGGAAGAGCGCAAGCATATCCAATGGTTTAACTGCACCGCAGTTGATATCCTATAGTTTCTCATATGTTTGATCGTGTTCCCATTGTTTAAGGATGTCTCGCAAATTTAGATCCTGTATCTATTGTATGGCGCAACCCGTAAGAAATGAAAAGTCGGTTATCGCTATTCCAGAATTGCATTTGTCGCATCTTTTTTGGGGCTGGCTAAATTGAATTGCCATTTACACCAGGTATCCCCTCAATGTGATGCCTCCCCCAGTCATAAGTTGGTTTAGTTTCACTCATTTAACTATAGATATATCTAGCATAAACCGTAAAAATTACCTATAGTCGCTTCAACCAACATTTTAGGCCCCCCAAATTGCTCCTATACCAACCACATTGGTGGTTATCTTATATACCCTCTGGTAATTTAACATAACTAATTATGGAACATCACCATAGAAATAGGGAATTCTCCCATGAAAAATGGTGATTTTCCATAGTTATGTTAAATTACCAGAGGGTAAATGTTGGTGGTTTATACTACAAGTTATCCCCACGAACTATCAGAACCACCACATGTCCTTCCAGGAAGATGCAGCTGGGTTAAGTCACTGTCTTCACCATCTCAACCACCAATATTACCTCATGTCCATCTATACCATGCTATCAATGGCCATTTCAGGAACCTAAATTGGAGGTACCTACCATATATAAAGCCTATATAAGGCCTGTGTAAGGGAATATCCCAGCAAAATATGGCCTTATATGGTACAGTACCTCCATTTTAGGATCCTGGAATTCCCATTGATGTTAGCCTTATACTTACGGCTACATAATGATGGTTTGTTGCTAAGATCCCACCACCAAGAAGATGCCTTTTGCATCATCTTCTATATATAATGTATATATATATATGTATATAGATCATAGATAGATTAGAAAGCAAATTGAGATCATGTTCAGCCGATATCCACAGATATTCAGCTCCATCAGCCATCAGCCATGATTACTTTTAAATCAATATTATATATATATCCCAGTAATACTGATTACTGTATTGATGGATCAGCTATCAATATTAGATATATATATATATATATATATATATCAGTATTTTTGATGATACACCTTTATATATCAGTAATGATATCACAATAATCATGTCCTTAGTATATGACGTATATCATATTGATACATATAATACTGATATATATATATATATTAATGTCCTGATATATCAATGATTACTGATATATCAATGATTACTGATGTACATATAAATAGTCATATAGTCATATATATATATATATGATACACCTTATTATGTCACTTATCCCACCAATGGCACTTATAATATTCTATCATTAATATAATGGCACCTATATTATAATTAATATTCTATCATAATATATCTGATAATGTTACTGATATATAATGGCACCTGACATGGATTACTTATTAATGAATGTCAGTATATCCCACCACAGCTCCACCAGGAAGATGCAGCTGGGCACCACCTTCACCATCGAACCGGTGCTGACCGAGGGCTCCGCTGAGTGGATCACCTGGGAGGACGGCTGGACGGTGGCCACCGCGGACGGCGGCCGCGCGGCGCAGTTCGAGCACACGGTGCTGATTACCGAAACGGGATGCGAGGTGTTGACCTGAGATGGGGATGGAGCTGGTGGGAAAATGCTAGGAAAATGCTAGGAGAATGGTAAGAAAATGATGGGAACATGGTGAGAAAATGCTAGGAAAAATGGTAAGAACATGATGGTGGGAAAGTGATGAAATTACTGGAAAAATGGTGGGAAACTGGTGGAATAGTGTTGGAAACATGGTGGTCATTTATATATTGGAAACACATGGTAGATGTTCTGTCAAATTGTGCGTTTCATGTTCAAAGGAATAGATGAACAATATTGGCAAACATGAAGAACACCTGAGTAGAATTCACATATTTCGCGTGGAGCACATATAAGCAAGTGTGGATTGTTTTGAGGACTTCACTTCGGTTTGTTTGTTAAATTATTCAGTTTGGATGTTCAGTTCTGTGGAGATTTGGCCAAGAATTTTCTGCCATGGAATCTCTGGTCCGGCCTCCTGTCCGATTGGGGATCACTATCCATGAGCTGGGAATTTTCTTCTGAACCAGCCTCTCTATCTTTATAATTACATATATATACATAGATCGAATCATAAGTAGGACATATAAAGAATATCAATCTATAGGACCAATAGAACCTTATAACAAGATGGAGGTGAAGCAAATGAAACAGCAGGCATCTGTTCCAAGTTAATCCCACCAGCCAATGTGAAAGACGGGTCAGCGCCGTTCATGTGGGTTGCCGGCAAGACGCCAGCAAGACTCCCAATTGCTTGGAACGTGTGTGCACGCGGCAAAATTGTCTGGTTGATGTGGTTGTGCATTGCCTCAAAGTTTGTGCCACGGTCAAAAGATTCGGAATGATAGTGTCACAGAATGTCACAGAACCATAAAGTTTAGCATATGCATTCAAATCAGAAACACTGCGGTCATCAAGCATGCGTACTTTTACCAACTGATTACTCCAACATTTTGAGTGACTGGTTCATTCTTGGTTTTCCAACAGCAACACAAAATGGATTGTATAAACATGTATAGACCATCCCCAGATGGTAGGTTTATTGTTGAGTTTACCAAATTAGTCAACTTTGACACATGGCTATGGTTCAAAATGTTGCATCCCTTTGTTTAGATGTTTTTTTTAGATCCAATGAGGAGTCTTGCGGGTCGATGTTTGGTAAAACAGTGTAGAATATTGTAGAACCATATCCATAATATCATTACACCCCCCATTGTTCGGGACCATATCCATAATTCTCCATAATATAATTTACTATAGTGTACCTCAGTTAATATAAACAATGTCCTGGTATATACATAATATCCATTTGTACCAAAGTTGATGGCAATATTTAGGGTGAGAAATATACTATGAATCATTATACCATGAATATACTATCATTATACCCAAGTTGATGGGTGAAGGTTATTTCGGTGATTTTCGTTATTGGCAATATTCAGGGTGGTGTGTTTTCAGATCTCTATCTCTCTAAGAACAACTACCATGATTCGATTCATACTATCCCGATGACAGCTACATTTATGACATATGTCATCATCAATGACCTCTTAAGAATCATTATATGTGGATGTAATCAATGGTTACAATCCTATCATAGTTTGTATATCATGAGGTTACATATACTCATAAGGAAATCACCATGTCATGTGTAATCCATATACCATTAACAATGTATATATATATATATCATGGATGTATATCATATCATATGTATATATATATATATCGTAGATTTAGATAACTATTCATAAATATTCATATACCATTATCCATATATATATATACGCATACACATACATACACATATATATATAGGTATCCATAAATGGTGGATCCCCAAAAAGTTGGTTTATAATGGAAAATTCCGAACAAAAACGGATGATTTAGGGGTAACCCCCCCTCCATTTTAGGAAACCTATTATATATATATGTAAACCAACCACACATGAAATATTCATGAGATTTTCCAGCGATTGGTTAGGTTGGAACACGCCATACATAGATTATTTACACACATCATAGGGAATCCCGATTATAGATTCTATAGATTATAGATTATATACATACATAGATTTCATAGATTATTACATAGATTATGTTTCACCTAATTTTCCTATAACAATATCTATATTCCTATCATATTGTATATTCTTATACAACTAACAATATTATTTACCCTACATCATGTAATGATTATTTTTTTGGTTTCCCTATATTCCCTATAATACATTTATAGATTTCCTATTGTAAATATATATATACATATTCCCCATAATCCCCATTTACTATAGCTTGTCGTGTTTTACAACGCCAGGTCTGGGATACCCAATCGGCACTGGTGATCTCCTGGGATCATCCACCCAACTTGGAGCCCTACAAACAGGTTCCGCGTTGCGCTCCGACGCCGGAAAACACACGGCGAACACATGGGGGTGCTATAGGTGATGATTATGGAAAAACATCGGAAAAAGTGCGTATATTGTATATATATATATACTATATATATATAACCATGATACATATATGGTTTATCATGGATGGTCATTGGAAAATAGGAGGACATGCGCATCGGATGAGTTCATGGGCATTTCATGGGGATTTCATGGGGATCCGTTGGGGAGTGAACTGAAAAGTAGCTGACCAAACTATTTGGGGAACATGATGAGAATTCATAACGGTGCATTAGTGTTTTTAATCAATAAATATCATGGGACTATAGTAACTATAGTGACTATTGCTTTGAAGAGGTTTTAAAGCTAGTTTGAATGATTCTAATTCTATAGATACTTTGTTTAATGATTGGAACTTGTCAACCTACGGGACCATCAAAACAAATCCCACCAGTATAATGGGATTTGTTCATGGGTTGAACAGTTGAAACGGGTGGAAATCCTGGGATATCATGGGGGGAATCATCTATCAATGGGCCTGAACTCATGATGTAGACAATGGTTTTTTCCCCATCGGGTGTGGAGGAGAATCATCTATAGTTGGGGATTTAATGTAATGTAACTACCCAACTTGATTTGATATTTGGGTGTCTGAAAATGGTTGTACACTCCCCCCAAAAGGCAATGTTCATGGGCATGATGATGATTCCCCAGTGGATGCAATGTGGGTGCCCTGTTTTCACACAAACCCATATTTCTCATTCCATTCCACAAATTGTTGCTTAAGCCCCATGCCTTTCCATGATATCTTCAGTACAACCCCAATGTGTTTGATGGTGAGGAGTTTTACCAGAATGGGGATTCAACCAAAGCAGTAAATGGCAATAGATAGTGGAATGAACCAGCAGTAAATGGCACTAGATTCAGTGAGTGTAACAATGGTTTAACCAAGAAAAAGTGAAGGTATCATACCAAGCAGTAAACTGGGAATATACTAAATATACCCTGGAGATACAGAGGGATGTAATGGCAGTTCAACCTCTCCCTGTTGGTCACCGCCTACCAAATAAGGCATCATTACGACACTACTCAGGGGTTATGAAAATTCCAATCAACTTCGAAACATATTAGATTTAATCAAGGTTAATTCAGGTAAAAATTAGTCACTAGTCACTAGTCAAATAACATTTATCAACCCTAAGAATCAAATATTTACTTATGAAGCTGAGAAGCTGATTAAGACCTTCTTTTCGGTTGGGTGGCTTACCTTCCCAAATGGGAGGCTTCAACAACCGTCTCCAACCGTCGATTGGTTGGTTCTAAGGGATCATGAAAATCTGGGTGAAAAGTGCCAACACTTGGATTTAACCACTACACATATGACAATGTTTGGTATGGTGTTGTGTTAAGACATAGTTGATTAAGAAGATATGAGCTACAGCCAAAATTTACGGCAATGGAAAGTAGTATTCGAGGCGTCTCTATTTTTTGGAAGCTGAGCTGAGGCTTGGAAAACGATAATACACTCTTCAAAAACGATAACGTGTGCTTATGTTGATCTTGGTCATCAGTCATCCTGTGTCTTACGGCGCAAGTTATTCAATGTATTTCGTATGAGAGAAGCAAACGGAAAATCTTTTTTTTTATCAATAGATGTGTGGTGATGGTTTTCCATATTATGGGGTAATAATACATCTATCTATATATATAATTATATATATTATATATATATATTATAGCATATCAAAGCTTGGTTTACTAAGATCTATTTGATAGATGATGGTAGAATGATGGCTGGTTGCACAGAGATCGTCTCTTTACTGGCTTATTCACCACTGGTGGACATGTGCCCCAGGGCAAGACGAAAGAACAACAACGGGGTAGAGTCAAACATCAATGATTGTTCAATGATAGTTCAATAAACAATGATGGTATGTATAATTATCAATAATTATCCATAATACATATGTACAATATATATATATATATATTTAATAATTATACATTTATCCCATATATATATATACATAAGTATATATATATATATACATAAGTATATATATATATATTCAACCATCGATATTAAAATGGTTGATATATTTTTTAAATCTTCATTTTCCAGACCCTTTCTGAAGCGCCCACAGTCCTGGCTCACGTTTCCAAGGGTTGGGCGCCCAACTGATTGGGAGGGTATTGTCCATTTTGTCCCCCCTCAACTGTACCCCCTATTGTGCCTATTCCCATCTATAATCATTATTGTTCCTATTTTAGAATGTCAATCATAATAATAATGCCATCATATCCAAATTATAGATGATAATCCCAATCATCAACCATCCCAACATGTATATATATATATATTTATACATATATATATATATATATTTACATATACATATATATATATATATATCATTGGAATAAAATGTTTTTTTTCCCTATCCCATTGTGGCCGTGGTCGCTCGCCAGGTCTGGGGGTGGGCCGTGGCCATTCTGGACAACGACCATGACATTTGGTCGCTCGTTCGATGGGATTGGCAAATTGGGGCAGCTATCCCCAGAGGCTTCCTACGGGACCATGGTAAAATTCCCACCAGTATAATGGGATGATATGGAAAAAATTGGAAAATATGGGTTGATACGGATAAATATGGGTTTATAATGGATTATAATGGGAAAACAATGGAGATGTAACAATGAACCATAGGGTATTGAAGGGATGATCATGGGATATCTTGGGAACATGGGACATGGGGAGCATGGGAAAATCATCTACAACTTAGAGATTTCATCGATTGGTTGAATGACAAAAACTCAACCGGAAACCATGGATTTTCCACATGAAATTCTACTGGGATATCATGAGAAAATCCTCTATCAATGGGCCTGAAAACATGATGGAGACAATGCTATACCCGCATGGGATGTGGAGGTAATTCATCTGTAGTTGGGGATATAAATGGATAATGGGATGTTATGGAAACTCAGCAACTTGATTTGATATTTGGGTGTCTGACAATGGGCTTTAAATCCTACCAGAAGATTGCAAGTTCATGGGGAAAATGATGAGGAAAACCAGTGGATGGAATGGGATGCCCAGTAGACTCAGAGTTTGCAAAAGCGGCCCATTGATAAATGATGTACCTATTCAACATTGTCATTTTCGCGAAACTGTTAGTTTACCAGAGGGTTGTTCATTTGTCACAGCTATGATATGGGATAGAATTGAACATCTACTATCTCATATACTATCCCATATGATATGTACTATCCCAAACAAATCCCCATAAAGAATCCCCTAATAGAATATGGCTCTTGATTTAGTATTAGGGGATTATACTCCCTGGATTTTCATGGGGATTGTGAACTAGCCCATTCTGGAACACGTATCAACCTGGTATTTCGTGGGATGGGGATAGTGGTATGGCTCTAATGGCACCCCTATGCCGAGGATTGACATTGGTAAAATATGGAGATTCTCAGGTCCTTGTGATTTGTTGTAAATGATGGAGTGAAATGGGACCATAGCTATGTACTGGATCTAAACATTTCCGAATAGTCAGATCCTGCCAGAAGTGATCGATTTAAACGACCGTTTACAGGAAAACAGCCTCGCAGGGTTTCCTGTAGTTATTTAAACACAATCTTCCCAGAGAGTCTCTAGTGATGTGTTTTTGTAATGGTCTGTGGTACCCCCCTAGTTCCACATGGTGGTTTTACCACAATCTGGCAGCCATAATCAACAGTTATAAGTTATCACCAGTATCTCAGTATTACCCTCTGGTAAACGCTAACAAAAAACAATGGAAAATCACCATGTTTGATGGTTCCATCAACTATAAATCAACTATTTCTATGGCCATGTTCAATATAAATCATCATTTTCCCATGGTTTTCCCATGGTTTTCCCCGCCTTTTCCATGGTTTACCATAGAGGCTATCCAGGATCCGAAGCAGTTAGCCCAGCGGGCTTCCAGCGGGGCCCGGATCGCCCAGGTCCATCGTGGATGGCTCGACCTTTGTCGCAAGGCCCAGCCGAATCCTGGGAGCAACGCCAGATTCATGGCAATCAACTAATATAATATAGATTCTATTATCAGTGATTGAATATTATCTTTGGCATCAACTATGATTCTAATATTTATTGCAATCAACTAATCATGGCATCAACTATGATCTAATATTGATGGTAATATTATAATTGCAATCTAATATATCTGATCATTAATCTAATATAGATTATATTGATTACTATTGATCTAATATATATATATATATACACACAATTGTATACATAATTATATATATATGATTATTATTCTAATATTGATTGATAGTGATACACCATCTGGTTATGACTAACATAGCCATGGAAGCCATCACCATGCTATTAATAGGTAAAAGATCTATATAAATGGGCCATTTTCCATGGCTATGTTAAATAACCAGATGGTAATATTTTAATAGCAATCTACTATATATATATATGATTATTAATATCATATTGTAATAATGGCGCTTATCTATGACTAATATTCATCAATAATGACACAATGACTAACATTTATTGATCAACTAATAGTGATGGCACCACTGATTTGTCTGACACAAGTATCAATGGCATATTAATGGGATAATTATTATGGCATATACTTAGATAATCATCATCCAAAAAATCACTATATACTTAGATAATCATCTTTCAATGGCATCAATGGTGATTAATGGATACTAATGGCATAATGAATGATGATTATCTAAGTAGTTTTTGTGATTTTCGTACTGATAATGCAAAACTAGAGTCATAGTATGTCAAAGTAATCAACTAATATTCAATGGATTGGTTTAAGGGAACATCTACAGGAAACCATGGTTTTTACCATCAAATATAGGGGGTTCCTGTAAATTTTCCCATCATCCAATTCTATGAAATATTGATTAATAGTGGTTGATAGTGATTTCCGTAGCAATTCATTGAATAATAGGTTTGACAATCAAAAATATGGAAACATATATGATATAGTTTACACATGATGGTTGGCTATATGGGATTATACTAGCCAACATACAGTAATGTGAGCAACCCAATGCCATAAACCTACCATTTGGGGGTGGTAAACGTTTACCACCCACTTATGCTATAAATTGGGGATGGTAAAAATGGCATTGGGTTTACGAATTTACTGGAATGATTCACACAATGAGGTAAGAATTGTAGTGATCAATGGTGATTCATGGGATAGTAAACTAACAATTATAGTGATTTCTAGTGATAAATGGTGATTCTTAACGGGCATGTTGAGATCATCAATTCATGGTAGTATAACGTGGTGCCCACTGGATACCCACCGAGAATGATCATGTGGAACTGCGCTGACTGGTTGGAGTGGCTCAGTGGTCCATCGGCGCACCTTTGTGTATCGGCGCAGCGAAACGGCTATCGCCAACTATTCCTTGACCCAAACAGAAAGTAAATTGGGTCGTGCAGAATATCAGCTCATGTGCATCCTTCAGCTTCAATTGCAGCATGCTTTGGCCACCGCTGGCCACTTCCCACAGCTTGACGCTGATTAGGCTACCTCTGCCTACCCAGCCGTCCGTACGCGAGGCAAGGACTTGAGATTGCATCCCCACGGTCAAAACAGAGCGGCTGCTCTGACGAACTCATATTTTTGAGAGGGATTGACACCACCAACCAGATATGCAATGTAATTAACATAATTGTACATAATTAACCATAACAAAGTAAACCTGGGAAAGAAAAGGAACTGGCAATCGAATTTCTTTAGCTTCCCGAGAGGGTTCTTATTTCAGCCGACAGGGTCGAATCGAGCAATCCTATCCTGGAAGGCGCTGGAGTTGATACAAACATGCCCTCAGGGCTGGAATTATGGTAAAATGAGAAGGAAAATAAATCAACATGGTGGCCACCAGTTATGTTCTTGGCATACCAGCCCCATTAGCTATAAATGTATCTACCACAAACATCCATAAACCTATGAGTTAAAAAAACACTTAGCTAGGTACCTTGCGTGATTTCTTTGGAGATCCCCTGCTGAACTGAGGATTTCTTCGTCGTAGCTTGAAATGGCAGACGGCAAACACTCTGATGCAAACATTCACATATATTCCCAATATGGATTAGTTTGTATATATATACATATTTATATATACATACATTTACATTTACACTAAACAGAGTAATCATCCCTATAAGAAGATCATGATTTTATGTCAAATAGGTGACTTGACGACTGATTGTATATCCCCTGTGCTCGGGAGATCTTGGGAGAGCGTGTAAAAATAACTGTCGAAGAAGGCCAGGGTGTATATATATATATACATACTATAGCTGTTGCATGAATATCTGACAATATATGTTTTTACATCCAATTACTATGTATATATATATAAAGTATATTATAATTTACATACATATTATATGAATATACCCATTATCTAGATTGTATAGATAGATTATGATCCCCAGTTTCCCCGGTGACCGCAGGTCCCTGACCCTGGAGGGCGCAGACGTGGCGGTGGCCAAACCAGAACTCTGTACCATCTACGTGTGCGGTGCTTGGGTCGTGTTGGCAGCTTTTCAAACAGAAATAGACTAGGGGTTAATCCACAACAATAGGTATTTATAGGGATTTTTAGAGATTTATAGGGATTTAATAGGGATTGATATGGATTTATAGGGATACCATGGAGATATAATGAGAATATCATGGGATATTGGGATTCATCCTCCTTTTTGACGGGACTTTTGTCGTCCTGAGCCGAGCTGGTGATGTGTTCTGAGTTTCCCGATCTTAAGTCCACCATGACTGGGGAATCAGTCTTGTTTTTTATTTATCCTCTGATAATTTGTTACATAGCTATTGAAGCCATGGCCCATTGAGTTCCTTGATCTACTCAGTAAAGATGGTGATTTTCTGTGCCTATGTTAATTTACTGGAGGGTACTTGTTTGGGCCATCTTGAGCAAATCCATCTCACTTGTTGATTTGTTTGGGCCATCTTGAGCAATTGGCAAGTGATGATGCATAAATAGTTAACCAACGGGAATATTATCCTTAGGCCAGCAATATTGCATGTTTCACAACTTTAAAATTGGATATCTTGTAGGAATGAAAACAATAATGAGAATACCATAGGGGATATAATGGCAAAAATGATCTTTACATTATGATTTAACCGGGATATACTAACTCTATATATAATATAGAATTGTTGGTAATAGGCACATTGGTCTAGTACAACTGTTTTGCTCTTGAGGTAAATGGGGACATGATGGCAACCCCCAAAGCCGTGGAAAAGCCATTGGCAACTGTAGTAGGAGCTTACCTTTCTACCTTCTTTGGCTTACTATAACCTACCCAGCTCTACCCAAATTGCAGTGTATCTACACATTGCCATGTTATGGCAATGTGTACCAAGATTAGCCATGGGCCGCATGGGGAATCCACCGAAGAAGTGCTTGGCCATGACCCTTCACCGCCATCATGGCCATCCCCCAGTTTTCTTTAATTCTTGGATGAAGTCTTTCAAAAGTTGGATTTGCCGCGCGCCCTGATTGGTT